TAATTGTTTAAATTATTTATTTATTTTTTATTTTATTTATTTAATTTATTTATTTTTCTTAATATTTGAGAGAGAGAGAGAGACAGGGCACAAGCGGGGGAGGGGCGGAGAGAGAGGGAGACCCAGAATCCGAAGCAGGCTCCAGACTCCGAGCTGTCAGCACAGAGCCCGATGTAGGGCTTGAACTCTCGAACCACAAGACCCGGACCGAGCCGAAGTCGGACGCTTAACCCGCTGAACCACCCCAGTGCCCCAATATATTCCTAAATCTTCCTCTCTCCCTCTCCACACATAGCCTTATCTGATCAATCAATTTGTGAACCAAATAGAAAAGGAGAAGGACAGGTGAAGAGAAAGAATAAATGGATATAAGAAGCTAACTTTTTTTTTTTTCTGTATTATCATTTCCTCTAGTCTCCCCAAACCTTCCTCTTCAGTTGTGAGGGGTTGAGAGGGAGCTATTTGGTCTTCCCCGTTACTGGGCGCTCCTACAATGCAGGCCAGTCTAAAAAATTGAGAGTGTAATATAAAATGTGCACACTAGGAGATACGGTCGCTCCATCACTGAGCAAATACTGAGTTGTGTTATGTGCTGGGCATTGTGCAAGGTCCTGTGTCTGCATAGTAGGGAGCAAAATACAGCCCCTGTGTGTCATGCTACTAAGAGGGACGTCCCACGAACAAGTGAACCAGTGAGTGAGTTATTACAAAATGATAAGTGCTAAGGAGGTCAGAGGGCGGGCCGTGGGGGATAGCTTGGGAAAAGGTGCTACGGCAGGGAAGATCTCAACCTCAAGCATATGAAGGAAAGATCCACGTGGCTGGAGCGTGGTGAGTGTGAGAGTGGTAGCATTTGAGGTTCGAGAGAGGAGGGGGAGTGACGTCTTAGATATCTTAATAGGCCATGGCAGAGTTTCTGAATCTAATTCAAAGTCAAATGGAAAGCTACATCTACCCGCTTGGTGAGACATGCTAAATTTAGAATGCTCTTTGTTCATATTGGAAAATTGGAGAAATTAAAATGAGACTTATTACCAACCAAAGAATTGCAGTGTTCTGGCCCCTCGAAAGTTGGTACTTAGGGTTCACTTAAGGCAGCTGAGGAAGAAGGAGGCGTGATACAGCCCCACAGCGGCCAGACGGCACTCTTCTTTTGGATGCCCTTTTGCTTATGTCTCTCCAGGTTATATTTTTCTTCCCCTATATTCACAGGATTTATTGTCCTTATCAAACAGAGAAGCCCCTTTTTGCCATCAGAGTGTAGATAGAACTAACCATGCTGTGCAAAACTGGTATTAAGTGTGTATTAAGGTGCTTGTTTTAATGTTTCTTTATTTTGAGAGACAGCATGAGCAGGGGAGGGGCAGAGAGAGAGGAGAGAGAGAGAATCCCAAGCAGGCTCTGCCCTGTCAGCACAGAGCCGGACACAGGGCTCGATTCCATGAATCATGAGATCAGGACCTGAGCTGAAATCATGGGTCGGACGCTTAATCCACTGAGCCACCCAGGCGCCCCGTGTTATGTTTTTACCACAAAAACATTGCTTGTTTGTTTTCCAGCTCATGACAGTCACGTGGGGGGAAGAAGGGAGGGGGCAGGATAGCACTGGCAGATGGCCTTGCAGTGTTGACCAAGTAGAGGCCGCTTGTATTTGTTTTCTTGGTCAGTTGACTTGCTTTATCACATATTGTTATCAAATCAAGTTTGTTTGTTTTTTCTAAAGATTTTATTTTTAAGTAATCTCTACACCCAACATGGGGCTTGAACCCATAACTACAAGATCAAGAGTAGCCCGCTTCGCAGACTAAACCCGCCAGGTGTCCCCCAAGTGTTTTTTTGAAATCAAAAATTAATTGCAAAAAAAGTTTATTTGTATTTGTCAGAGCTTGTAAGTTACACGGAGCCCCTTTCAGGCATATGTTTTATGGTGTTCTTTTGTTAAATAGAATGGTATTTGAAATGAATTAAGGGTTTTAATGAGAGAATTCTGTGAATGTCTTATGTGTTCTACAGATCGAGGAGGAAAGGAAAAGAAGTTCCCGAACAGATTATTGGCTACAGCCTGTACGTATTCAGCTGGAGTTCTCGAGTTCTAAACGCTTTTTAAAAAGAGTGAACGATTCAAAGAGCATTTGGTATAAATGACTTAAGTTTCTCAAACATACTTAAATCCTATGGATAGACTTTCCTGACTTTTCTTTTCATCCGATCTTAAATTATCAGTTACACCTGTATTAGAGAGTAACTTCCCGTTTATAGGCTGGTGAGACTCCTTGAGTTTTGCCAGATTTGTTTGTGGACATCTTGAATTGAAGCCTGGAATCGTTTCCAGTGTTTGCTAGAAGACAAGGGTTGTGTTTTCAGAAATGGGGCTGAAATGTAGAATTGCGAAAGCAGAAGTATTTGTTTTCAGTTTGCAGCTTATTGAACTTAGATTATCCCTTTAGGTACTTTGTTGAACAAAGGTGGTTTTAATTTTACAAACTCAAGTAGAGCTTTGTATTTTATTGTGTATTTATTGTTCTATTGTTTTAAGATAATACTTTTGAAATATTTAAATAATTACCAGAAATTGTTATAGTTTGCTGATGCTCTGTTTTGAGCTTAGATGTGAAATTTTCGGAAGACGTTCAGGGTGCCTTCATTATTCTTTGAGAAGCTGGTTTGATCAGTGACAGGAGACCGAAAGGTAGTGAGAGTGTGTCATTTAGATAATTTTGATTAGAAACATAAGGTTAATAATAACCTTGATGGTCCGGAAGTCGTGAGCTCTCATTCAGGTCTTCGTGGTCCTTCTCCCTCTAGCTTGAAAACTCAGATCACTGATTTCATGTCTTAGTCTGTGGTCTTCTACCTGGGAGGCATTTCCACCCGGTGGCCACAGGAAGTATCGTGCAGTAATTCAGCTAACATGGAAATACTTATTGTGTTACATTACATAGTGAATGAATCCTTTGTATGAATCACTTCAACTAATTCTTATATGAGCCCCGTAAGGTAGTTATTGTTATGATTCCCATTTTATAGGTGAGAAAACTGAGGCAGAAAGCATTTGGGGGATTTCCCCAGGGCCGCAGAATAAGCACTTAGGCAGCTCTCTCTGGCAGTCTCATTCAGCAGGCTGTGCTCTGAGCGAGTGAACGTGCTGCTTCCTGTGATGTCTCAGGCGCCCGGACTCCCCGGCTGTAGCACGGGTCGGTCACGATTAGTAAGGGATGGGCCGAAGGGAAGTTTTGTGTGTTTTCTCCATCACAGTAGCTAGCATTTGAATATTAATAGTTTGATTACTGTTTATGAAAATGTAATCAAGAATTTAGTCGAGAGGCGCCTGGGTGGCTTGGTTGGCTAAGCCTCCCGCTCTTGATTTCAGCTCAGGTCATGATCTCACAGTCGTGGGATAGAGCCCCTAGTTGGGCTCCACACAGGGCATGGAGGCTGCTTAAGGGTCTCCTTCCTCTGCTCACTCACGTGCTCTCTCTCTCTCTCACTCTCAAAAAAGAAAAGGAAGAAAAACAATTTTTTTTCCTGAAAGCAATTGTTCTTACCCAGAGAGTAATTCGCAAATCTTTAGAGAAGTGTTTTTTCCAAATTACATATGTTTTCCTACTATCACCATCCCATCTCGTGGGGTGAAATGCATATTCTCATCAGTCTCCTAGGTGATTCTGATGTACGCCCTTCCTTACGAATCATTGGTTTAAAGGAAAAAGAAAGGAAACCAAAAGCAAAAGAAAAAAAAAAAAAGACAACGCTTTCTACGTTTTAGCTAGTCCAAAAATTCTCTTCCCATTGATAATACTTCCAATTCAATTATATTTCCTGTTTGATAATTCTCTTATAACAAATTATTCAAATTCTCTTCCTCCTTCCTCTTACGGAGTGTTACATTCAAAGGGAGGGTCAGCCAACAGTGCCATGATGATTCCATGTGTCTCTTATGTTGAAATGGGCAGTATGTTTGTTAAAATAACCAGCAGTCCCTCGAGCTAGATTGGAGAACTTTAGTGTTTAAACTGAGTAAAGAAATATTTTGAACTGATCTATTGTGTGAGCAAGTGTCAGTAAGCCCAGTGATGTAATAAGTTAGCTTCAGATTATGAGTGTGTACCCATGAGGGCCTTTGAGAAATTGAGGCCAGAAATACTCTGATTAAATCAGGGAAGCTGTTTTGGCATCATTTGGCTTCACTTAGAAAGTCTTAGACCGTTCACGTTTTCTCTTAAGCATGTCTTTCTACAGTTCCACACCCTCCCCCCAAAGTCCTCACTGAATTTTGATTAATATAATTTTTGGCCTGGCTTAGTGAAGTACTCGTGACCATCTAGTACCTCTGTTATATTCACTTGAAGTAGCAAATTCAGAATCGCTATAGTGACTATAGCATGAAGTCAGGCAATTTATTTTTCCCAATCCGCCATTAGACAGCTAATCTAAATCAGCAACATGATGATAAAGAAGCAAACCCAGAATGCACGAATATGAAATAAGCCCAGATTTCTCTCCCACTTGAGAATTAGATGTTCAGAAGAACGATACTTTTAGCTGGAGCTAATCTGGAAGAATCCTGTGTGTATCAAAAATTCAGAGTAACATCACGAGAAGAGAACATTCTGGAAAAATGTCATGCGTAAGCTCAAAGACATTTCCCTGCAATTCCCAGTGAGACTTGCCATCTGAGTTTTTATCAGCACTGAACACCAACTGTGTAATATCTTTGGCACCTTTCACTTCCTTGAATGGAAAGAAAGCAGCTCTCTCTGAAAGACCTGGATTAACAGGGTTGAGACTGACAGATGAAAAGTCCTAGATTTCAGGGGACCTTCAGTGTGGAAATCAGCCTCGAGACAGGTATTTTCTCCTTCTCAGTAACCATATCGAATAAAGGGAGAAAGAAGAAATAAAAGATCACTAAGGGAACGTTTTGCCATGATTGGAAAGGCTTAGAACACCCGGATTTTTTCCTTAGCAGAGCAGTTACACTTTGCTATGATTTTTGGCGAGCATGGTTTAAATTTTTTTTTTTTCCAACGTTTATTTATTTTTGGGACAGAGAGAGACAGAGCATGAACGGGGGAGGGGCAGAGAGAGAGGTAGACACAGAATTAGAAACAGGCTCCAGGCTCTGAGCTGTCAGCACAGAGCCCGACACGGGGCTCGAACTCACGGACCGCGAGATCGTGACCTGGCTGAAGTTGGACGCTTAACCGACTGCGCCACCCAGGCGCCCCGCGAGCATGGTTTAAATGAAGGACTGAAACAGAGAAGATAACTTCTGTCTTTCATCTTTATTTTTTTGTTGTTATTTTCTAGGAAATCATTGTGAAAATTATAACCAAAAAACTCGGAGAGAAATATCATAAGAGAAAGGGTGTTGTTAAGGTAAGGCTGTGAGGCTGTGAGTGGACTCTGTGAATTGACCGAATAAAGCCTTTTTGGTATTCCTGAAAGGTCAAGTCCTCAGGGCAGAAGCATTGTGTCTGAGGTTCTTGATGGTTCTGTAGAAGGAGAGCTGACTTCATAATTGGCGGAAAAATGATTCCTTTGCAACCGTAATTTATATTTATACATACCGTGTGCTTTCCTCCTGGAGTAAACAGTATGTATGAAGTCCCGGGGGTGCCACATAAACTCCCTCACTCACTGTGCAGGCCTTGCTAATCAGTGAGACGCATCCTCTTTGTTAACAATGGGCAATAAATATGATTATGTGCCTGGAGTTCCAAGGAGGGCTTCCTTGTTGTGTTTTGCCTGGGAGACTTTCAGCCGCTCTAAGATTTGAAAATTTGAAAATCAGCGCTCCAGTCCTTTTCCCTCTTTGCCGTCCCCTAAGAGTTTTATTCTAGCACCCAGCACTGTGCGTGCGTAAGTGCCCTTCTATTGTACTCGAAGCTGAGCATTGTCCCTCTCACTGTGTGTATCAAAGTCTTGTTCTAAGAACACCGACCAGTCTTTTATTCTTTGCAGATGAAAAGCCTCACTCGGCCTTGAATTGAATTCTTTATTAGGAAGCATAGAACCACTATCCTGTATACCTGAAACCAATATGTAAAAACTGTGTCTTAAATAGACTGGAACTAAAATGGAAAACGTAATGAAATTTAAACAAATTTTAAGAAGCATAGGAGAAGTCGTATATGGAATCTAAAATAGTGTCATTGATAGGAGGAGTTACTCTTCCCATTTGACTGGAATGCCGTTTGTTTTCATCTTACCTATTTCTGTCCTTTGAAATTTGTGTTCACGTATTTCTGCTACTATAAAAGTGTTGATTTCACATGACAGGAAGTAATTGACAAATACACAGCTGTCGTCAAGATGATCGACTCCGGAGACAAGCTGAAACTTGACCAGACTCATTTAGAAACAGTAATTCCAGCACCAGGTAAATCTTTTTGCAGACCATTTAACCTGTATGCTATTGAAATGAGTGATTCCATCCTTAAAATCATAGTTTTTTGACATTACCGGGTAGTTGTAGATAGGTTTCCTTTTTAGAAATATACAGCTGCCAGTGTAACTGATGCTCTTGATTTCAGGTGACGCGGTGGGTTTACCAGTCCTCTGCGAAAGTGCTTTGTGGCATGAATAAGTTTTCCCTTCCTAAGATCCTTTTTCTCCGAAAGCAAAATACAAACTCATAGGGAAAAAAAGTCACTCAGACGCGGGTTATTGTTAATATATCCCTTTAGCTGCCTGAGGTAGTGAAGTAAAAGTCTCTGCTGTTTGGCTTTTTCTTTTGCTTAATGGTCTTTATCATTTGAGTAGTTCTGATATCTCGTTCGAATGCTGCTTTGGTTGGGTTGCCTGCCTGAGACCCGACCCTTCATAGTGACAGCACAGTGATCGTGTTAGTCTCCAAAACTGCTTATCAGGTCCTTTATTCTTTCCCTGGAAAATAAAACTCATTTTATGGCTGAAAAAAAAGAAATTTTTTAGCTTTAATGAGATGTAATTGACATACGATAAATTGCACTTGTGTAAAATATACAATTTGATCAGTTTTAAGACACGAATACTCTCTGAAACCATCCCTACAATCAGGATAATGAATGTATCCATCACTCCCCCCCAATTTCCTCACTCCCCTTTATCCTTCCCTGCCACCCCTCCACTGCTGCCTCCCATGTCCCCAAGACAACCACCTTTCTGCTGTCTGTCACTATAGATTAATTTGTTTCTATCTAGAATTTTGTATGAATAAAATCATACCATGTGTCTTGTTTTTTGGTCTGGATCTTTCAGTACGTGTAATTATTTTGGATTCGTGCCTGTTGTCACATGTATGTGTCTGTAGCTCACTTCTCTCTGTTGCCAAGTAGTGTTTCCCGGTGTGGATATGTTACTTCTTGTTCATTCAGTCACCTGTTGATGGACATTTGTCTTGTTTACAGTTTGGGGTTGTTGCAAATAAAATTTCCAAGAATATTCATACGCAAGTCCTTATATGGACATATGGTTTCTCCCCTATTGAGAAGATACTTAGAAATAGAATGGCTCCCTCATAGTAAGAGCCAAAGCAATCTAAATTTCTTTTCTTTTCTCTTTTTTCTTTTTTTTTTTTTTTTTTTTTTTTTTTTAGTGATTATTTATTTTTGAGACAGCGCAAGAGACAGAGTGCAAGCAAGGGAGGGGCAGACAGAGGGAGACACAGAATCTGAAGCAGGCTCCAGGCTCTGAGCTGTCAGCCCAGAGCCCGACGCGGGGCTCGAACTCACAAGCCATGAGATCATGACCTGAGCTGAGGTTGGACACTTAACCGACTGAGCCACTCAGGCACCCCAGTCTGAATTTCTTTCTAATGATTTCTGGGCTCTGAACATTTTCCATTCCACTCCTTGCAGATTAAGTTTCCTCTGACAAGTGGAAAAAAACGTGAGGAGTCTTAGAATGCTATAGCGATCAGAGTATCTCCAGACTGTACTTTAGAGTATTGCAGAGTTCTGAAATGATTAAGAACTCAGAGGGGTTTTGTTTTTTGTTCTGTTCATTCACTGTAATTGCATTTTGCTGTAACAAAGTAGAAGAAAGAAGCAAACATTTCTTTGCGTTCAGTGTTCTATTCTATCGTAGGGAAAAGAATTCTCGTTTTAAACGGAGGCTACAGAGGAAATGAAGGTACCTTAGAATCCATCAATGAGAAGACTTTTTCAGCTACCATAGTCATTGAAACTGTAAGTACGTTTCCGCAGAGAAATTCCTAAAGGGCTTTAAAAATGTGCCATAGTTTTTTCATTGGGTTGGTCTTTGTTTTAGAGCTGGGGTTTGTCGTCTGTCTTCTCTCCTGTTTGGAAATCTGTAAGCTTAGTCTTTGTAACTCTGCCATTGCTGAAGGATTGTATTTTCTGATTTTAAAAGAAATGCAGATGTGGCTTAGTCCACTTGAGCTGGTGTAACAGAATATACCATATACTGGGTGGCTGATAAGTAAATAATTTCCACGGTTCCGAAGGCTGGAAGTCTAAGAATAAGGCACTGGCCGACTTAGTGTCTGGTGAGCGCCCACTTCCTAGTTCATGTGCTCTCATATGGTGGAAGGGACAAAGCTCTCTGGGGTCTTCTTTACAAGGGCACTAATCCGTTCATGAGCGCGCACCCCCATGATCTAATCACTCCCCAAAGGCCGCCCGCCAGATACTGTCACACTGGGCGTTAGGTTGCAGCTCTGAATTCTGGGTGGGACACATCCAGTATAGCAATGCTTATTGTTTTAAGACCTGAAAATGACAATTTAATATAAATAACTTTAAAAATTACCAATAATCCTCCAGCCAGATTACTCCCTTTAATATTTTGACCTGTTCCTTTTCAGTCTTTGTATTTTACAAAATTGTATACAATATGTACAGTTTCACATTCTGACTTTTTTCTTTCACATCCAGTATAAAACTCAATTTGACATACAATTAGCGGGGAATATAGAGTCAGAATTAATGACGGGAAAAGCCCAGAGATCACTATTTTAAGGTTTTTTTTAAATTTAATTTTTTATTTTTTTAAATTTACATCCAAATTAGTTAGCATAGAGTGCAACAATGATTTCAGGAGTAGATTCCCTAATGCCCCTTACCCATTTAGCCCATCCCCCCTCCCACAACCCCTTCCATAACCCTCAGTTTGTTCTCCATATTTATGAGTCTCTTCTGTTTTGTCCCCCTCCCTGTTTTTATATTATTTTTGTTTCCCTTCCCTTATGTTCATTTGTTTTGTCTCTTAAAGTCCTCATAGGAGTGAAGTCATATGGTTTTTGTCTTTCTCTGACTAATTTCACTTAGCATAATACCCTCCAGTTCCATCCATGTAGTTGCAAATAGCAAGGTTTCATTCATTTTGATTGCCGAGTAATACTCCATTGTATATATATGCCGCATCTTCTTTTCCATTCATCCATCGATGGACATTGGGGCTCTTTCCATACTTTGGCTATTGTTGATAGTGCTGCTATAAACATGGGGGTGCCTGTGTCCCCTCGAAACAGCATACCTGTATCCCTTGGATAAATGCCTAGTAGTGCAATTGCTGGGTCGGAAGGGTAGTTCTATTTTTAGTTTTTTGAGGAACCTCCATACTGTTTTCCAGAGTGGCTGCACCAGCTTGCATTCCCATACATTTTTTTTTTAATGTTTATTCATTTTTGAGAGACAGAGAGAGACAGAGTGTGAGCGGGAGAGGGGCAGAGAGAGAGAGAAAGACACAGAATCTGAAGAGGCTCCAGGCTCTGAGCTGTCAGTACAGAGCCCGACATGGGGCTCGAACTCACAAGTCAGACCGATCCGAAGTCGGACGCTTAACCGACTAAGCCACCCAGGCACCCCCAGAGATCACTATTTTAAATAGTCCTTCCTTTCTTTCATAAAGGATTAAAAGGTAGCAGAGATCAGTAAAGTAATTTCTGGAAATCTGATGTACAGGTCAAGTTGTTGACTGAAGTAGACTGGATGGCTCACTGACAGTCTGTGGGCGCCCCAGTGAGGCCTGAGATGTCTCTTGAGGGAAGGAAGGGCCTGAAACAGGCTTTTCCGTCACTGCCTAATGCGTTTTGGAACTCTGAATGATGGGGCGGGGACTCTCCAAGTGAAATCCGTTTTCACACCCAGTGTAGGAAGCATCAGCCTGTGGGAGGTGGGATAAGAGACCCCTCGGAGAGTCTGGTGACCGTCCTGAGCGCTCTCCAGGACTTGGGGGTGTAACTGCCCACTTTCATGTGTTGCCTGAAGGGGGTCGGAGGCATCTAGACCCGTCTCTGGACTGCGTTCCAGAAAATCAGGTGGGTCCTTATTTGAGAGAAACCACATTTAAGTAAATGGAGCATTTTTTCCCGGTCTCTGTCTACACGATTTCAGCAACTGTGACTGACACAAACTAGAAGGGAAGAAAAGGAAGAGGAATCTCTCTGTTACTGAGAAAATTCTCGATCTGACTAAATTAATAGATTGAGTTTTGTTTTGTTTTTTTTTTTAACTCCGTTTTTCTCTCTGACTCAGGCAGCATAAGGTCATGGAACATCTAGCATTTCCTTGGAAACGATTCTCCTGCACTTTTTAAATTCATAGTAGCATCCAGTTTAGATCCCGCCTCAACTCGGGTTTTCATCTCAGGGAGACGCAAAACAACTAATTAGCAGGGAGGGCTTTCTGGGTTCCATGCAGATACCTTCGGGCTAGTCTGTGGTTTTCACGGACTCGTTTCTTTCCTCCCTCGCCGTGACCCCACTTGGGCCTCCCTTCTGAGCTTGCGTGGCTTAAAGAGCTGGGCTGGGGTAGGACTAGGAGGCGTGCCCACAAGAGGCTGGCTGCCTGGGAAGCGGCAGGTACTTTTCCAAGAAACCTGCGTATTGTTTTCCCTTTGGCAGCCTGCCCCGCCCCATTTAAAAGAAATGTGTGTGTGCGTGTGTGCACTTGTGTACGTCCCCACAATTGCTTCAAGTCGTTGCCGTGCAACACACAAACTTCCGAGTGATTTCTCCTGCTGTGTTTATCCCTTCCGACATCTTCAATTATAGCATCAGTATCAAAGTCTTTGAAATTTACTCGTTTATTAGGCAGATTTTTAAATAGCTGACGAGTTATTCAGAAAGTCTCAGCCTTTTAGCCCAGCTGTTTGCCTAGCTGACCAAATGAGCAGCTCCCTTCTTACTGCCCGATTTTGTGTTCTTCTCATAAAAGCCAACCGACCGTGGGCCTTCACACTTGATAATGAAAGAGGCAACCTGAGTCATGCTTTATCTGGGAACTTGTTTCCATTGAATACAGTCATTATTATATGTTAAAAAGAATAGCATTTTTAAAAGCATTGTTAAGGGAAGGTGTGATTCTTCACAAACAACGTGAAAATCTCACTTCAAGGTTAGAGTCATTATCATCATCATCATTTAAAAAAAAATTTTTTTTTTAATGTTTATTTATTTTTGAGACAGAGAGAGGCAGAGCATGAACCGGGGAGGGTCAGAGAGAGGGGGAGACACAGAATCCGAAGCAGGTTCCAGGCTCCGAGCCGTCAGCCCAGAGCCCGACGCGGGGCTCGAACTCACGGACCGCGAGATCGTGACCCGAGCCAAAGTCAGACGCTCAACCGACTGAGCCGCCCAGGCACCCCAGGAACAGCTCTTTTCCAAGGGGCGACTTGTGAGGAGCCCGGGGTTTTTCCAGCTCGTGTCTCCGTCACCTTCACCGAGTGACTTTTATACTTAGCGTGCTCTTGTGCTTCAGACAGGCCAAGGCCGAGCGTGCTGGGCTGCATGTGCGGGCAGCGTGGCGTGGTCTGGCCTGGAGGTGGCCCGCGTCACTTCTGTTCACCTCTGCGGCCGGAGCTCCATCTCATGTCCGTACCTCACCCCATAGGGAGCCAGGGAAAGTGTCCAGGGAGCAGAGGAGATACGGAACAGCCAGCAGGTGCCTGCCACACCGTGTAGGGATAGCACATTTCACACGTCATCGAAGAAACCGTGGCGCTTCCTAATGAGAAGGCCGTAGAATATTTTAAAAGTCACAGTCGTACGGAAATGTTAGCTGCCGTCATGGTGTTGTAGGGTTATGGGAGAGACAAATTTGGATCTTTAAGTGTGGTGTCACTTTCTTGTCTTGTAAGTATATGTGTGTTTTTAATCTTTTCTTCAATCATTTTAATTTGTAGGGCCCTTTAAAAGGACGCAGAGTCGAAGGAATTCAATATGAAGACATTTCTAAACTTGCCTGAGTTTGAAAATTTGTTAACACATTAAAATCCTAAAGCATCAAATTGGTGTTCACCAAGGCATTATAAGACTCTACTGTGTTAGGGTGTTTCTTTTGTATAAAGCAAATGGATTTATTTAAATATTACTGTATAGTTGTTCAGCTAAGCTTATAGAAAAATCGAATTATGTCTCATGAAGTATCAAAACAATGTAATTTTGTTTTTACTGGTTTGGTTTCCTTTGTAATATTGCCTTAAAGATTTTTTATCTTCATTAAAAGAATGTTATCGTAAAGTGTTTTATATAAGACAACTTAGAATCGTGTAGAGGAAATCCTTCATATACTCTATAGTTGCAGTGGTAACGTTGAACTATAAATCTAATTACACTTTAAAAAGTCAGACTATAGAGTCCCGGCTTTATTGAGATAGAGTTCACGCACGGTATCACGTACAGTTCGGTGGCTCTTAGTATACGTACAGAGATGTGCACCCATCATCACTATTTACTCTTAGAGCATTGTCATCGCCGCAGAAGGAAACCCTGTGCCTGTGGTCTCTCCCTGTCCTCCCACTTTCCCCAGCCCCTGGCAACCACTAGTCTACTTTCGGTCTCGGGGACTTGCCCATCCTGGACGTTTCATATCAGTGGAATCGTAACAACAGGTGGTCTTTTTACGAGTCGCTTCTTCCGTGGAGCATTGTGTTTGCAACGTGCACCCATGTTGTAGCGTGTACCAGTGCTTCCCTCCTTTTTATTGCCGAGCAATAGTCCACCGTATGGGTACACCACAGCGTCAAAATCCCTTTGTCAGTTGACGGACATTCTGGTCGTGTCTGCTTTGGGGCTCTTAGGAGTAATGCTGCTGTGGACATTCGTGCGCACGATGTTCTGTGGACACGTGTTCATACATTTTCAGTGCCTAGGAACGGAGCTGCAGAGCCTGACTGTAAGTCATGGGATGATGTTTCTTTATATTTAAGAGAGAGAGACAGGGTGTGAGCAGGGGAGGGGCAGAGAGAGAGGGAGACACAGAATCCGAAGCAGGCTCTACGCTCTAAGCTGTCAGCACAGAGCCCGATCCTGGGCTCGAACTCACAAGCTGTGAAGTCATGACCTGAGCCTAAGTCGGACG